CAAGCGGGAGGACACCACGTTTTTGTTTGTGCAGTCTACATCAAGACTATCGGTTCACCTGTTTTTCTGTATTTGCTTAATTTGCGTGTTTTTTGCCTCGTCTCGTCCACTCGATATTGATCTTGCCACCCCTTATCCCCTCGAGACCCAACTCTTTATGTACAAACACACACACACACACACACACAAACACACGATTCTCGGCCAGGCCCTGCGGCCGGACCACCACGAGCAGACATAGAAGCGTGTACATGCTGGCTGGTGTGCACTTTGGGCACAGAAAGTGTGTCCACATCCGGGCGTGGATAGGAGGAGAATGCTGCATCTGCCACAAAACCACCCCGTGGCTGGCACGTGTATCATTGCAGACTTGGAGACAAGATAAAGGAAACAGGACTGACAACGAAGCCGAAGCGGGAGAAACAATAAAGGTCCAAGCTGGAGGGATGGCTCCTGTGCGGGTTGCTGTAATGAGGGCGAATGTCTGAGACCGTAATGCCTGTGTGCATTTGGGCATGGACACAACTGTGTGTGGGTGTCTTTCTGTCGTAGAATCGGTTTACGCGGTTGAGTCAGCCAATTAACCTGGCGCTCGACGATTCTGGCATTTAGTCCGGTTTCAACCAGGTCCTACCACACCGGCGAGTCAGCCTCGAGCTGTGATTTATACCCACAAAAGGGCAGAAGTTCGATGGAAAACGGCGAACAAAGGGACAAAAGCAGGCAGGCATACATCAACCAAGAGGAGCCCAACAAAATCCGTTCAACTGGCCAATCTTCCAATTCTTGTTTCACCTGCCAAGGGTTCCATTAGAAGAGTTGCTGCATCTACAGCATACGGGACCGTGAATTTGGCGAGAATAGCATTATTGGCAGAGAGAGGAGTTCGACGCGGACAACGAGGATAAGGAAAGTACAAGGCACAGCAGATAGGAGGAGAGAAAAGAGTTGATGATGACAACTTCCTTCGTTGAAACAGCAAAGATATTGCCGTTTGATGGCACTTGGAGGACTAGCTATGCAGTCTACACGCAATGTCAACTGACCACAGGCAACAAGCCGACAACACAAGATGTACTGCTGAAGAGGGGCACCGTGAGATTAGGACAAAAACAACGAGCCAGTAGAGACTAAATAATAAAGCGACAAGCTATTCCATAAAATGTGGCCCTTCCTCCTCGACAGATTGAAAGCAAAGAAGCAGCCCACCTGACTTTGGCCATCAAGACAGGGGAGTCAAGTCTATTCATGCCACAGTAAACGCGAAAATGGTCACTTTAACATATTTGCATCTGTCTGGTTGTCATGGTGACGAATGTCTATGAGGCGGAGGGGTCATGCACTGGCTTTGGCCCGGCGTCAGGTTAACTTGGTCAACCTGAAATGTCATCTAAAAAGGCCTCCTTTTTTCTATCTGCTTATGCAAAAATGCATACTTGCTCTACTTTGCCTCATATTAATAAAAAATATCAAATGCCACGGACAACGAACCGAGCAGTAGACACGGGCTGGGGTCAAAGTTTAAGCCGGCGATCACTAGGACTAAGCAACAAACAGTATCGAGTAGTTAATTAAGTAATCAATTGTTCAATTGTTGAAAACTTTTTATCTCAGCCTTATCAAATGATACCATTTGCAAAAATAAATGAATTTTTTGTGAAATAGATGCGAATTTTAAACAAATCTGAAACAAAAAAAATTGACAACTTTGTCGCGAAACGCTTCTCATTTGCTGACATTCCAGTCCAACTGGGCACATAGGTTTGACAAAATCACTCAACCTTGTCAATAAATAATCATATTTCATTTACTTGCGAAGCTGAATATAGACCCTATTGGTTGGCACCTCGTTGTCCTGAACGCTATTTAAATACACTCCCAAGTGCGTCGTGAACGCTAAAATTTCAACAAATTTCACTTTGGGTGACAACTTTTGAGCCGCAACCTTTGCTGAGTCATTTACAGCTGATGACCACGCATAACCACAATGATTCAGAAGCCCACTTAGCTAAAACGTGACTACTATGCGCATTCAGGTATGGAGCTTTTTGAGACTACAACCTAAGCATTAAGCAACCATAACCCTATATGCAATGAACCTTCAGAACTTGATGAAAAATATGGTATCAAATTGACCAAAATGAATGTATGGTGAGGTTGGGAGGCACAGGAAAAAATATAATTTGGATGAGTTTTGCAAATATCAGATGAAAATTGGTCTATTTGTTGTTCATCCTAAAATTTGGTGCCTTATAACGAAGGATTGCCCAGAATGTAGAAAGACAGCACAATTATACCAATCACCATCACTCAAATTAAGCAGCAACAGCATAAAGTTGCCAAGGCCTCGAAGGAAAGGGTTTTTTTCAGCCTAAACTGGTATTAGTTGTCAACCGGTCGAAAAGGGCTCATTCGTTTATTGCCTTCAGGAAATAATGGCCTCTCACGAGGATCAGATTAGAGCCGCTTTTACCTGCGATCCGATGGTTGAGTTACTATGCGTCAGAAGATCGAGCTTTGGAAAAGCTTTTGAATTTGCCCAATTCTGTCGGTTGCATTGCTTGCGCTGGAGGCTCCTTGAAATGTTGGTATCAATTTGGCATTATTAAGCACACTGTATGCTGGTCTGGCTAGTGTCTTTAAGGTTCTTCTTCCATCGGACTATCAAGACTCGGGTTGTAGCCACATTTTCCGACTATCAAAAAGTGCTCAGGGTTCTGCCGCTTGTGCTGGAGACGCTGTGCATAGTTCGACTCCGAAATCTTTATTATTTGACCGAATAGGAGGCAGATGCTGTCTAAAATACAAACACATCGCTGTCGCCCGTTGGTGCAAAACTCAAAAACTCAAGAGGACGCATAACCGGACTCTGATGAAGTGATTCTAGCTCACAAGTCGTAGTCGCTATTACAACGAATTGTGTGTGACAAATA